ACTCACTGACGATGCCGACTACGATGCCTGCGAAACGTCTGGGAATGTACCACGTCCACGGTCCGACTTTGTAAATAATTATGCATACACTGGACTCAGGAAAATGTGCGTTTCTATAAGTCTTCCTACCATTAAAGCCAAGTTGCGAAAACAAGGTCAAACAACTTCTATTGTAAAATATACCTACTGCCAGCCAGCTGGCTCTAGTCTCCGCCGCGTATATCCTGTTTCTATCCCTAATACCAAGTCTATGACGTCCTATGCCCTAGTCTCTTATGCGCCAACATACAAATGTCATTCTACATTGAACCTAATTAAAGCAAGCAGTATCACAACATTTCTGAGTTGGCACACCAGAGACTAGGACATAGAAGGTCATAGACTTGGTATTAGGGACTAGAGACTAGAGACTAAAGCTAGCGGGCTGACAGTAGGCCTATTTTACCATAGACGTGGTCCATGAAGCAAAGGCTTGACCATGAGAATAACGCTGGCGCTTTAGCCTCAATTTAGTCTCCCAGACGGAGTGTGGGAAATAAAACCCCGAGTAGCATGTATGGGGGGGCAGGTTACGAGCGAATCACGGAGATATCATATGTAGCATACAGGTCAAAAGGGAGACTGATATTGCCTAGGGAAGGAGGATGGCTTAACAATATGGCAGACTCTGATCGCCGTTCCCAGCACAATGATGAAGCGACGTGAGTGGTGAGAAAGCCAGCGTAGAGTGTGGAGAATTCTCATGAAAGCCCCTCAAAAACGCACACCATACAATATTTAAATAAACAGGTAAAAAAATTGTTGTAGTGACAGCTTTATATGAAGATATAAGATTGGTGATTAGCCCAAGGGGGAAGGAGAGATACTACGTTTTTTAACAGACAATTGGTCAAAGAATCGGCTTCACTTCTCTCTGACGCGTTGTAGTGATGCTAAGACTGGAAAGACGCGCTGACGATGCCAACTACGATGCCGGCGAAACGTCTGGGAATGTACCTAGCCCACGGTCCACTCTGGAAATTATAATGCATACAGCCGACTCCGGACTAAGTGCGTTCCTCTAAGTCTTACTACCAATATGACCAAGTTACGAAAGGAAGGTAAAACAAGTTCAACATGTTTTCACAGGAACAGGAGTCTCCCGAGGACAGCGTAGGCCTCAATATCCTAGTAAGAGCAAACTACTGTAGGCCAGAGGAAATTTGATGTCTTATGGCAAGATCGATTTAAAATAGGTTGTGCAAATCAGTCAAAAATATTAACAGTGGTGCATTTAATGATTAAAATCGATCACAGGACTGATTACCACGTCGAAGGGGACTCTCGGCCCTTATTTCATCTCCACAAAGGGCTTGTTGAGGAGTCTGCCGTGGTTGACACCGTTCTGCAGAGGTAGGCACAAAAGGATCTGATTCCTTGATTCGCGTAGGTGACGACGAAATCACGCTGTCTTGGTAAGTAGAAATCAAATTGAAAGGTTTAATGGGAGAAGAAGACTGGGAAGTATCAGCAGTAGCCGAAGGAGGGCTACCCATGATAGCCAACTGGTTTGTCGCCATCATAAGGATATTCAGATAAGCACTGATAGTCAGGCACAGTAGCAAATATGAGTCAATCCTCGTAGGAAATGGATAGATAGTGTCGTGGGAAT